AGGCCAGGTTTGCCCAGTGGGCCCTAAAAACAAACACAAAATCAATCAGWWCCCCCAGAGCATCAGAGRATGGGGATTTTCAGCCACATTTCCYGCTTTCCCCARCTGTGAGWRGCTGGAAAAGCTGTCACACCTTGTAGAAATGTGATTATTTCTGGRGCAGGGCTGTTCCAGCACCCAAGGGTGCTGCAGTGCCCGTGCTGGCACCTCTCACACACCCAGAATGCAGCAATGAGAGCTCAGCAGGAGMCTGAGGCACCACACCCTCCCAAAACCAGGGTGCTGCACAGCTGGGGAAGGACAAGGACACATGCCAGACTGCGGGGTCACAGGAGCAAGAAATGCCCATTTTTGGATGAAAAACGGCAAAGGAGAGGAGCTGCCCCTGCTGACTGGGCTTGCTGCTCAGTGAGCWCCTCCTAATTGAGCATCTCTCAATTTCTGCTGCATCAGGAAGTGCCAGTGATCTGACAGATCCCTCACAGGAGGGTTATCCATAATCCCACTCCAAACAAACAGGAGGGGATGCATAGGGACACACTCACGGTGTCCCTGCTCCACGGGAGCTCAGCAAACCCTGCAGAACAACCCCTCTGTGGGAAAAACTTCAAACTTCTCCCTCTTTAAACCCTGATGGTCCCAGGACTGCTGGAGGAAACTTCTCCCTCTATAAACCCTGATTATCCCAGAGCGGTTAGGGGAAACTTCTTTCCATTTAAACCCTGACAGTCCCAGAGATGCTGAGGGAAACTTCTCCCCCTTTAAACCCTGATTATCCCAAAGCTGATGGGGGAAACTTCTCCTCCTCTAAACTCTGCTGGTCCCAGAGCTGTTAGGGGAAATTTCTTCCCTTTTAAACCCTGACAGTCCCAGAGCTGTTGGGGGAAACTTCTCCCTCTTTAAATCCTGATTATCCCAGAGATCCTGGGGGAAACTTCTCCCCCTTTAAATCCTGATTATCCCAGAGATCCTGGGGGAAACTTCTCCCCCTTTAAACCCTGCTGGTCCAAGGCCAGCACCCACCCCACATCAGCAGCCAGAAAACCAGAGAGGCAGAGGGAGGGGATCCTCCCATTATCATCCCGCTCAGACTCCCAAAGCCCACAGAAAAAAAAGACAATTTTCCATCCTCTCCTCATGTTTCACCATAGGCTGCCTTCAAAATGTTTCTCCTCAGAGGGGAAATGAATGCAAATATGATGAATTAGGGGTGAAACGGAGCTGTCTTGATCTCTCCTCTGTCTGGAATGAGAGGCATTAGACTTTCATGGCCACGGCTGCAAACAGATGTTGCACATGGGGCAAAGGAGCAGCTGCAAGGAGCAAAATGAGCAAAATGCAAATCTGAGGCCAGAGATGCAGAATTTCAACTCACTTTCTCTCCTGGGGGACCGATGGCGCCTTGTGGACCTGGAAGACCCTGTGAAAAGCCAAAAAAAAAATAAAGAAAAAGAAAATTTTAGGGTTTTTAAGGAACGAGTTATTCCTTCCAAATGCATCTTGGCAGAGTCTCAGCTGAGMATTATTGTAGTGCCTGTGAGGGTTGGGGATTTCCCCGGCTCCATTCATTCCCAAAATGTCCTTTTGCTCTGGAGAGCTGTGCTGGTTTAGCCCAGGAGGGGACAGGGATGTTCTGAGGAACATCAGGACTCCCTGAAAATCTGGACATGCCCATTGTCCGTGTGGCCCTGCAGGAACTGGGCACTGGGGTGGGTGTTGAACATCAGATGTGACCCACAAGGTGTGACCTGGCTGAAGAGAATCCTGGAGCTGCTCCAGCTTTGCACAGCRGGGTGAGGATGGGAGAGGTGACACTGGAAGTGTTTTCAGGAAGGTTCTGGACCAGCAAAGTCTCCTGGAGCCTGTTCCCAGCCAATCCCATGTTGCTGGTCCCAAATGTGCCAGGGGAGCGATGTTGGAACCTCATCCTCCCCCATCCCTCCCTCCTGCCCACAGAGAAGGAGATTTGTCCTTACCTGAGCCCCRGGGTTCCCCTGCTGTCCTGGGGGCCCTGGCTCGCCCTGAGGGCCCTGTGGGGACAAAAGAGCAGGGATGAACCAGGGACAGGGGACATGGAGCTGCTGTGGCCTCAGGAAACACAAACCCTGCTTTACCCCAGCCACATCCCTGTATTCCCTGAGCCTTGAGCTGGATCTGCATCCTGAACCCTCTCTGACCTCCTCCCAGTACCCAACAGCTCCTGGAAATGGTTTTTCCCACCGGGATAAGGAGTTGGAATTTACTTCAAGTTATTTTCAGCAATGCTCCACCACCACCWGGCTCTGCACTGGTTCTTCTCCAGGGAATCCATCCCACCCCATCCATCCGAGGCACAGGAAGGGTTTTTTTYCCCTCTCTATTTCGATATTCATCACCCCAGCTTGCTCATGTTTCATCTTTCATGGAGAAATAATGTGTAATTCCATCAGAAATTACAATAAATTAACATCCATTTGCTGCAGGAAGATGTTGCTGGTGTTTTCCACGGGCTTTGATAGGAATCTAGAYCGGGCTAAAAAGCAATTAGCAAACCTAATCTATCAGAATTTTGCATTTTGCTCTGCAGAATATCTGCACTGCCTGGAAAAAATGTGCAGGGAGAACTTACCACGTTCCCTTTGGGACCTGTTTGTCCATCCATGCCAGCCACRCCCTGAGAAAGGATTTAAGAACAGCAGCAGTAAGAAAATATCGCATTATTTCACACCACAAAAGCAGGGAAATGGCCATAAAAATCATTTTAAAATCAAAAAAACCCTTGGACCACGTGGAAAGGGAACAATTTCCTAGAGGTTTTTGGTAAAGCAGCCAATTCCATAAATCCAGGCAAACTTAAAAAAAAAACAAAACAACATTTTAGTGCTTTTCCCTTTGGTTTCGCCTGYCTGGGGGGCACAATCAGCACCAGGTTGGAGCAAATCCTGGTGGAATTCATCCCACAGAGAGCAGGCATGGAGTGGAAAAGGAAAATAGGGAAAAACACCTGGATTGGGATACAGGGCTGTAGAGCATTGTTCAATATGGTAAATGAATGAATGAAAAGATGATAAAGGGGATGGGGCTGTGCTGTTTGTGCCAAAAAAAACCTGGGATCAAACACTCCCTGAGCATCTTCACCGAGGGGAGAGCATGGAAATGTCCCCCTGCCACCATTCCAGAMTCAGGGAATTGGTGAGSTTGGAAAAACCCTCTCAAATCATCAAACCCAACATTACCCCAGCCCTGTGCTCACCCCCAAACCACGGCCCCGGGTCCCACATCCACGTGGGTTTTGAACACCTCCATGGGTGGTGACTCCACCATTCCCATGTCAATACTTGGCAACTTTTTCCATGAAGAATTTTTCCCTAAAACCCAACCTAAACCTGCCCTTTTCCCCTGATCCTGTCACTGGTTACCTGGGAGGAGACACCAGAACTGGGGACCTTCACCAGAACCAGGGACTCGCACAGAACGAGACCTCCCTGACCTCCTTCCCTCCAGGAGAATTTTTTTGGGTATCACACCAAACCCATGGGAAATGAGGCAGTTTGGGAGCAAATCCTGAACTCAATTCTTCCCCCTTTCACTTCAGCAGCATCAGGAGCTCACAGCAGAGGTGTCTTTGTGTCCCATTTGGGGTGAAGGGCCGGGCAATTCTCCCCATTAACGCTGACCCCATAGCTGTAGGGTCGCGTTTTTAAGGTCCAACAGCATGATTTAGGAACAGCCCCTGCATCAGCACTTCCAGGGGTGAGGACTCTGAATAAAAACCCACGAGCAGCAGCCTCAGCTGTGGCCTGGAATACGAAGGAGCTGCTCCCAAGCCCTGGGGCAGGAGTTAATAGCAAAGGAACCGCGTTAATAACTCTCCTTCCTCCCTCAGCTGAGCCACGCATTAATATTTACTCAGGTGGGGCAAAGCTGCTGCTGCCATGGGTGGACGTGATTCCACTGAGAATGGGAGCAGGCAGACTCTGAGTGATTTTTTTTTTTTGGATATCGCTGGTTTTCTTTGTCCAGATGTGGGATATTGCACAGCTGGATGAGCTGCTGGAACGATGGGGATGGGGTTTTCTGTCTGGAAGGTTCTGGAAGGGAACTCACCGGTGGTCCYGGGGGTCCTGGGGGTCCCTTGGGGCCCAGCAGTCCTCGGGGTCCCTGTGGGGAGAAAGAAAAAAGTTTAAAATTCAAAATTCCCAATGTTCCCCACTGTCCAGGAGCTCACTGGTGCTGCAGGAGTTTCCCTGATTCACAAACTGGGACAGAAATCTGAGAGATCCCTCAATCACAAATCCTAATAATGTAGGAGCAGCCATTTATTCCTTAGATTGGAGCAAACCCCACTTGAAACAACTTTGGAACAAACCCCACTTGAAACAACTTTGGTACAAAACCCACTTGCACAAACTTTTTTAAAAATTAATTTAATCCTATTCCTGGATTACCCTTTAACCCACACAAGGATGCAAAACGTTTTACTCCAGCTGGGAAGTTCTGAAGGGTGATCTGATAACCCAAAGGATCTCTGGGATGACCATCCCAAAATCTCTCCAGATTGAGCTTTTTTTTTTTCATGGAAAATCCATACAACACAGCCAGGCTAGGTAAGGCTTCCAGCCTGCAGCATAAATGTACATTTTCAAAGGCATTTGCTCATCCAGGTCATGACTTTTGCTCTCGTGGTGTTTTCCTTCCATTCCTGCTTYTCTCACCAGATTTAAGATGGTGAAAATTTTGGGAAAATTATGGGATTGGAGCATCACACTGAATAAGGAAAACACAGCACAATTTGTATTCCTGCATTGGGAATTTTTACAAATCCCATCCCATCCCTCGTGTGCCTGAAGGGGATTTGGAGTAGAGGGAAAGGGATGGGATCTGTGAGCACTCACTGCAGATCTGAGAGCTCAGATTTACACCCAGAAATTCCTTCTGAAATSAGGGAACACTGGGAATTTGTATGGATGGAGCTCCTTCCCTGCCACGGAGGAAAATTRTTCTTGATTGATGGATAATTTTATCTATCTGCCCAAATATTACATATTACATTATTATTTATATATATGCCCAAATATCCCCCTTTTATGATGAAGAGAGGAATTAAAACGCAATTTCCAGGGTGGAATAGGAGACATTAATGAAATGTCTCGTCTCGGAGGTCGTGGGGATTCTGATCCCGCAAAAAATTTGCAATTTCCAGCAAAAACTGGGTGAATCCAAGGGTCAGTCCCAGTCATTGGASACCTCGTGGGATAAAGCCCAGCAGGAATCCCTGAGCAGAAACTCAGGGGGAGAGAAAGAAAGAAAGAAAGAAATGGGTCAGGACGAAGGAAAACCCAATTTGAAATCCCAAAACTGGTGTCAATCCCTTTTGGAATGATCCTCTTTTGGCTGAGGGCAGAAAAAATTACAAACCCTTATCCTTAGGAGGTGCATATTTATAGCAAAATTTTCTGCAACACCACTGAATCCTTTCCCCTGGCCCAAAAATTGGAAATCCCACAGATTTCCACTCTGAAATAAAAATAAACTTYCCAGCGTGCGTTGTCCTCACTGCAGCTCCTCCTTTGCTGCCGTGTTACCTGAGCACATAAACGCTTTTAAGAAGTTAATAAGCCATAAGTTATTGCTCAGACATGTGCTAAGGAGATAGCTGAGTTGATTAATCTTTGCCAGAAGTTAATCAGACGTCTTGTCTATAATTCAGCTCCGGCGAGTCTGTAAATGCCAGCCCTTCCCTCTCTTCTGTGAGCTGAGCCCAACAATTCCCATCAATTACTCTCGGGCCACCASGCTGGGCCTGAGCAGCACCAAATCAGACATCCCGAAAAGCAAAGGCCGTGCTAAATGATGGATTATGTTCTTTTCATAACAGAGGAAACGCGTTTTGGGTGGAATCTGCAGCCAGCGACTGCACCAGGAGCAGGAATCTGTAGAAATCTACTCCGGAAGCAGAGTTGGCTGTTGCCAATAAAATGAGAAATTAAAAAAAAAAAAAAAGCTTTTTCAGAGTGTTTAATTGACAGCCCAGCTGGTTTGTTTGGGTTTGTTTGGTTTTTTTTCAGTGGGATTCTCCATGAAAGCATTTCTTTGGGCTGGTCCAAGGAATTTGTTCAACAGCATCAAATCTCCTCCATCCTTCCAAAATMCCAGCTCTGCAGCACGTGGGGTCCAGACAGTGACAAAGTGCAGATTYWGGGAGTTCTGTGCACTGGGAGCASAACATTGACCCCACTGAGRTCAGATRTAAAAGTTTCCTTGGGTTTTATCCYGCCAGGATTTCATCCTGAGGTTTATCAGGGGTCAGTGACATCACATGGGACAAAGCCTGTGGGAGCTGCGGGGTGATGCTGCCACTGCCCTGGGACAGCAGAAAAACCCTTTTCTCACTGGAATTCTCCATGAAAACTCACAAAAATTCTTTTTTCATCTATTTGCCATGTCTAATTTCTACCCCGGCCTGCTTACCTCGATCCTAAACCAGGGACAAGGATACAGGGAGGAAAAACATGAGATTAAACTGAGCTAAACTTTAGATT